TTAGAAAATTAATAAAATGAGAAGTTATTTTAAGATCTAAAGTCATACAAATATATTAAAGCTATAACGATTTAGTAAAAATCACAGTTCAAGTATTTATCATTTAACTAGAAAAAGTTTTAGACAATTATCTATTTTCTCTATCATGAAAACCAAACTACCTCTTTACCTTTTCATGTTTAACTATAGTTCATATTTACTATTAAACAGTATTTATTTTAGTAAAAAGGTTCTTTAATAATTGACATCGTCAATTTTTTATGACAGCTAAGCTAATTTACTTCTTGTCAAAAACTTCATAAATATATCTACCGATGTACCTAAACCAGTGTTACCTTCTCTGTCCTTTAGCCTTCAAACAACCCACTTTTATACAATTTCTTTTTCGTTAAACAAATCGAACATCACGTATTGATAAATTAATTTCATCGACTACACAAAAACAAGATAGAAAATTCTTTCATAAGGAATATTTTACTTAGCTTTTCAAAGAGAATCTTGATTGGAATTATTTTCATATTTTATAATTATATTTCTTTAGTACTATTTTATTAAAATCGTTACTGTGAAAGTTTGATTAATACTTGATAGATTCCGTCCGCGAGGATTAAAAAAAAGCTTAATTAGTAGCCTCTGTGTTTTCAGACGTCGGTGGCTCAGTGGTCAAGCACTTGACTTGCAATCTGCGGGTCCTGGGTTCGAATCCCGCCATGTACCAATGTGTTTTTCGATTTCCGATTTACATATGTATTATCCGACGTTCTTACGGTGAAGGAAAACATCGTGATGCAACCTGCATATAACTGAGAAGAAATTCAAAGATATGTGTGAAGTCAACCAACCCGCACTTGGCCAGCGTGGTTGACTATGGCCTAATCACCCTTAACTTTGGGTAGGCTCCGAGCCCCTCGGTGGGGACGTATAGTGAGCTGATGATGATGTGTTTTCAGACTATGTTCTATTTGTATGCCAAATTTCATCGAGATCAGTTCATTCGTTCTGGTGATAACCTTAAAAAATACATCCATCATCCATCCAAATATTCACATTTATGATATTAGTAAGAAGGAAGCTATTAAATTAGTTGATAACTCGGTCTTTTTGCAGCACGCCTGGAGTCCCCGCATGCGAAATAATGACTAAATGATCGGTCTATGTAAAGCAAGCATCGTGCGGGTTACTTATTCGAGAAGTATATGGCGCGGTAAGAAAAAATCAGGATTATAAACCATAGTCCTTGGAAAGATTTTCCTTACGAGCTTTAATTCTTACAAGACGACATAAATACAGTGTTACGAGCTATACATTGTTTTAATATGATTAAAAGAGGTTAAAGTAGCAATTATACCACAAGTACGTGCCAAATGCTAGGTGGCATGCCAGATTTAGGTAATTCTCGTATAATTTATTGTTTAATTTCAACTTAATTTTGTTATTATAATTTGTATATGGCAAAACAAACGTATTTGTTAAAATTATAAAAGAATAATCTAGTCGGATATTTCAAGTTTATTTTTCAGTTTTGTCATCTAGGGAAATCGGCATGACAAAAAAACGAGGAATAAAATCCATCTATTCTCTAAAAGGGATGCTTTTAGTGTAACGCGGTCGTGTGACTTTATTTTTATATATTAAGTAGAGTAAACTCAGTTAGGCTTGCTCTCTGAGTGCAACAAAGCTAAAAATAAATATTTTTCGCCTGACTAACAACAGTAGGGCAATATATATCGCAGGTATGTTTGTTCATATGTATTTATGTAGTTTTGTATGTATCTGGAGGTCTATGAATATTTGCCACACGCGCCTTCGTGACGTCATCAACAGAATCAATCAAAATTTTTATAAAATTCTTCGATATACTTAACGCCCTGTAGGGTAGTAACGCTGTTACTGTGGAATAATTTTAATACTTTTGTCGATGACGTTATCACAACGTTCTCATGAATATTCGCGCTATACCCTCTAATCCATAACGACTTGACTGAGTTTGACGTGGGAGGTGACATTTAATTGGTGTTTTTCCGGAGTGTGGTGATTTTATTTTTAAATATAATTTGTAACAATTTACTTCTAATCATATTTATTAATATTAAGTTATAGAATATATTCCAGCTTCTGCATACACTTATTGTCCCCCTCAATTTCTTAATAAAAATTGAAATAGCAACATTTTTTACCGGTGTGTATTTACAGAATCGTTAAATGTTGCAAAAATGATGCATTATTAAGGCAAGCTGCATCAAATCTTGTTCCCCCTGTCCTCGTATCGATTGATCATTGAATGGGGTGAAATAAATTCAACCGTAACATTTAGGGGTCAGTTGAATAAAATAACAACAATAAAATTTAAATTTAAACCTTATTCTCAGTTGATATAGAATTTAATTTAATTTCCCAGAGTATTTTCCCCAAGGACTTCAATAATAATAATAAAAAATCACTAAACACTACTAATACTAATGACTCTCGTCGATTTTGGATGACCAAAGATTCATAAATCTCTCTCTTTGTTAATAAATATAATAAAAACCAAACTCAATCAATCTAAAATAATTTTGACTTAACTAAGATCATAAATGGTAACGTAACGCTAAAATACCAAAGTGCCCGCTACCCATAAATGTCCGCTATGAATTGTGAAGTTGGTGTGTTATGCCTACTTTAAATAGTAAGAGGTACAGATGTAAAGATAAAGGATTTTCTTTCTCTAACTTCAGTTAAACTGCATAAAATGTCGCTTTATTTCTGCAATAAATCGACAGTGTTATCGATGGCAAAGTGACCTATTTGCGTGTAACTCATTTCACGTGTCTGATCCGGAAGTACCGTCTTGAGATGTTATTTTTCTTTATTTTATGGGGTTCGGAGATCCCGGCCTTCTTTTGTCCTTAATTATGTAGCAATTTACCCTAACGATGTTATTATAACTACCCAATTCATTCCCGAAATTATATTTTCTTTTTGAACAAATATGTCGCCAAATATCTGAATTGTAAATCGTAATGTTTTCTGTTTCCACTGCTGAAATGCTTGTACAAAACACCGACATATCCCTTTTGTTATTTTTTAAAATATTGATAGCTTTACGATTTTTATAACGAAGTATGAGCAGTGAATACTTTCCGTATAATAATTAACTTTTACGTTTATAAATCGTTATTGTTGACTTCGATAATTTCCATAAATATAACATTGCTCTACTATCTGACTCTGAGTACCGTTTTTTTAGTACTCTAAAATATTTTTTAACGCAAAAGTTTAAAATCTAGAGTTATTTTCTTGCAAGCGAAAACACTGAATCACAAAACTATCCAATAGTAATATAAATAGGCGAGGGAGAGCTACATAGAATCAGTGGACCCCAGTTTGTTATATCGACCAATCATCGTATCAAGCAAAAAACTTGGACCGAAATATTTTGGGGTCCGTCCTTTGCAACATCAATGAACTAGAATCTGTTCTATTTTTTATGCAATCTGAACTTTAAATTTGAATAAATAATTACATTGATTTATTTAAATACCAGTAGCTGTTTAAGCTAAATCGTATAAACAGCATTATTGTATAACTATTTTATAATTAAAGATAAATTATGAAACTGGTCGCCAAGTTTAAAGCTGGTTAAAAAAGGTTTAACAACTTTCTTCATATTTTACTGCCATAAGTTTTTCTTGAAACATTTCGTTTTCACGGAGCGACGACTGGTCCGCAATGCTGGCCAGTCCGTGGAATCGGTAACTATAATTTACATTATTTATGCCGTTGAAATATCGTCAATTTTTGATGTGTTACCCAAAAGTTTTAAATGTACTTGATATTTACCAAGTCTATCCGTTCACTTTTAGTTTTTTTTTTAATAATTTCCATCGGTTTTAATTGTTTATTAAGATTAGTTTAATAGAAATTGCTTTCTATTTAAACTATTAGGCTTTTACTGCCAACTGCGGGAAAAAATATCCACCCATTGCCTTTCAAAAAAAGGTTTTTCGTTTTTCTCCTGACGGAAATTCAAGATATAAAACAATTACAAATATATGTGTATGAGTACATGAATTATGTTCGTAAAAAAAACAAATAAAAAAGAAAAAAATCAGTTACACAGATGAAATATTAATAAAGAGTGACAAAAGAAGCCGACTCCTTGACCCTATTGAACTGAAAGCAACAAAAGTGAAGTCGTTTGAGGTACTTGAAATATTCAAGTATAAGATAACGACAAAAGAGACGATTATTTAATCTGTCGCAAACAAAGTTACTGTTGAATAACCGTAGAATTCCATTGCTGTTATATTTCTATGGACACATATTGTCATCCCTTTCAATCTCCTTCACCAGAGATAATATTATATACATTTGTAATAAAATACAAGTGTCATGGCAGTGGAATTCTACGCCGTGTGCCCACCGCCGCCGCCGCCACCGCCGTCGACGCGCCGACAACCAAATCTCAGTTCGGATATCCGACGGATGTCTTTATCCAAGATTTCTTATCCCAAAAAAATGTAATGCCTACTTAAAATGAGAGCATTTTCTTATACGTTTCCCCTTTTTTTTAATATTATTTTTTCCGTTTGATTTGGGTATAAAAAAAAATCTTATGATTTTTTTTTTAAATTCTTATGATTTTTTTTCAGTGATTGAAATCTCAAGAAAAATTACAATTTACATTAGAAAAATAAAAGTTTTTTTTTTGTATAAAAAGATTTTCAACTTTAAAGTGTTTCGGACTGACGGGATAACTTTTTTAATTTCGGACGCAATATTTTTTTTAATATTCATTTAATTTGGTAGTAAAAAAGGCCGAAAATACTTATATCATTATTTTAATACATTATGGATAAAAACAATATAAAATACGATAAATTCCGCAATCGCAGGGCCGGTAAAAGGAGTATTTTTTCGCAAAAGCCGCTAACAACGCGCCGAGCGAATAAAAAAAAATATAAAAAATTACTAGCTGTAAAATTAAAAAATATAAAATAAAAAAAATATATAATTACCTCTTGTGCCTGTTGCGACGCCTCGCGCCGTTATTTAGTCCGTACATTTCGCACTGAGTCTCTATTTGTCGTCCGTGTAAACTTTGAGCGCACTCATCGCAGGCGGGTAAAGCCGACGACTGGCCGCCGCGAAAGCTCTCTGCTGACTGAATGCAGGCAACGGTCGCTCTAAGGGTGTCCCGCTACCCTCTGCTCTACCCCCCGCCAACGCAGACCCCGCAGCCCCCGCCGCTTACCACCACAACCCCACCAGGAGGGTTAGGTCGTCAGCTGCCCGATATTCAGAACTGGCCAGTCCCACAAAGATTCCTAATTCGAATCCTTTGACCAAATTTTGCACAAACGGATTAGTACGGACCTCCTCGCTTTTGTTAGTTAATTTTCTATTATTATTTAAATTTATAGCGCGATTTCGTCCGCCGAATTCATTTTAGTTTTAAAAAGGATAAAAAGGTTTTTTTTTAAATATTCATAAACCGGTCTCAATAGAAAGCTATTGAAATATTATAACGAATTTCAATAAATTATCTCTTTGTTACTTACTCGTTCATTTGTAATTAAAAGGACTGTATTCGTTGATCAGTTCGATGTTAATCAGTCCAACAAAGCCTTCCAATTAATACATGAAATATTCAATTGATAATAAAATATGGGGACTTCGTTTTAAGTAAATATTTCAATCTGAACTCAGACTTTACTTCAGCCATCGATTTTTAATTAGTTAGAATTACAGCAAATTTCCGATAAAAAAATCTAACGTTATAAAGACTGTATGAATATACAAATATAATAAAATGAAACATTTTGTTTGATCGTTTTAATCTCATCAAGTCATATTATTAAGGAAGAACATTTACATCTCGTTTTGAACATTGATTTTGGTAGAGTTTGATTTTTCGTAAAATTAAAATATTTTTAAGTAAATCAAAACAAACGAATATACAAATGTTTTTCTTTGTAATGTTTGTATCGATTTACATCGTAAATGTTAGAAAAACTTTTTTTTCGCCTAACTTGGACAATAAAAGGATTTATATAACTTTGTCGATTTGTCTTTGGTAGTAGCGTAAGAAAAGAAAACAGAAAAGTGTAATTAACAGATGATCTGCGACTCTAGCTGGCATTTGATAAAAAAATAATGTCACCTATAAAAATGTTTTTTTGAAATAAAAAAGTTTTCTAAAATATATTTTAATAAAACAGACAAAATACAAATTAATTTTATTACTATTATAATATTTATTTTATATTAAAAGATATTTCGTAAGTAATATTTTATTTTGTGCTTTAGATGTTTAGTTGGAATTTGTAGTACACTATATTAATGTGATGGGTTTCTATTAGGTTCCATAGGATTCTTTAGAGTATTGTCATCTCTATTATTTCAACGAGAATGAGAGAGATGGTAGTATTTTTTTTGTAATAGTTTTTAAGCAGTGAGAACTCCATTTAATGTAAGATATTCGTCGGACAACTTGGCACTTTGTATTTAATGCGCAACTTGTTTCTTATTTGCAAAGTATAAGTTTTCCACTCCAATGGAAAATTTAAAGATAGAACAAAGTACGCCTTAAATTGCTGCAATCTTTTTTATACTTTTTATAAAACTGTTGCTCTTTCGTAGAAAAAACTGACAAAGAAAATTTAATTTTTCCTGTTATCTTAACGTTTAGAATATACTTTGTAGTACAATTATTTAAAGATTTAACTTTTTTATCTAACTTTATAGATTAATTAGACTGTACGTAAAACTTATACTGCCCAATATAATTCCTTGCTTTGTGCATATATGGTGTAGATGAGTAGGTATTTTCTAAATTTCTAAAATTTTTGACCACATATCCAAGTCGGGTGAAAGTTCGAGATTTTTCATTATATAAATTATGATTGTATCAGCTTTGTATTAATTCCACGCTGATAGAATTGCGGGCAACAATTAATATACCGTTATTAGAACCTAGTTTATTCATAATTAAGGTAAAGTTGATACGTGAGTGCGAGTACTAAGACTATTGAGGTTGTGTAAATGCTCAACTAATACTCGACATCTTTATGATACCAGATAATGTAATAACAAATCTATTGGAATACTTATCCTATCCTAGTATCCTAATACAAGAAGTAGAAACTCTAGGAGCTAAATATTAAGGCACTTCTAAAATTTATACTGACTATGGAACCTCTTGATTATTGAAGTATGTTAAAAATATATCTTATAAGATGTAATATAGAGCAAATAAAATTTAGAGAGGGCATACCAGAATAATCGAAACACTTGTCTTGTGAACTATACATAGATATTTGATTAAAATTTCAGTCGAAGGTCACCTTGAACTCGGCGGCAAGAATATCAAAGCACGTGTTCCAAGTCAAACGAAACGGGAGACATTTGTGTTCAACGGACCGCGCTATGCATCAACCGAAGCGGTCCTATACCAACATATACCTAGTAGATTGTCTTAAAACCGCAACCACCGTAATTGTAACGTTTCGTAACAATTCCATATTCTTCTTTATAAATATCTAGATTTCTTTAGAAAATATTAAACGAACAAGATGGTCATTTGATGTACTTAATATTCATATATCTTATTTTCACAGATGGTGATGCGAGGCGCAAGACTCATAGGTTTAGGCTATCATAACGAAACGTTAAATACAAAAATAATATAATATACTGGTAAAACATAAATTACAGGTCATAAGAGTACGATTTACAAAAAAAAATAAGTCAAAAAAATATGTAAAATATACCAGTATTTATTCTTAATATCTGTCTGTCCTACTGAAGACACACTTGAGTGTTTAACTATACTACTAATATTATATATGAGAAAATTTAGATGGATGGATGTTAGACGGTAAACGGCTCAACGAATCTTAATGAAATTTGGTATAGATGTAGAACATAGTCTAAAAGAACACATAGGTTACTCACTTATGTTCTGATTCAATTCTCTGCGGACGGAGTCGCTGGCAACAGCCAGTTTATTTATAATTTATAAGTATTGGCATGTGCTAGAATAAATTTAATAGGTTATTTATGCCTAGAATATGCTTTTATAAAAATCAAAGTCAGCTCTTATTCGATTTATTACTTAATAAAGAGCTTAATGGAAATCTGTTTTATCTTTTTCAGTAATAAAACAAGCAAATCTCATTACATTAAGTGTAAACATATTTCGAGCGAGACTGTACAAAAAGAAAATATAATTCTTGTACAGAAATCCAATAAGCTTCAACAACTTGTTAAACAAATATCTTTTGGTACGAATAATAATAGGTTTCCATGGCCGAAATATAAAAAAAAATACCCTAAGCGTGTTTTCAACAAAAGGTCAACCGACACCTTTTATTTAGTTATATTATCTGTGCAAAATGTGCTGCGAAATATTATTTTTTTAACACGTCGACAACTCAATTTTGGCATGCAATTTTTTTCTCTTTGTATTTCATAATCTGTTGAATATGCATTCATGAATTTCGAATAGAATCGAATTTAAAATATCAAATATTCGAGTGCGGAAACGTTCAATATACTTGTTTTGTTTCGAATTCAAACAAATTTTATTTGCATTTCCTTTATAAAATATTCACGAATTTTAACACGTGTTTAACTTTCTTTATTAAATTCCTTTTTTAAATATTTTACAAAATCAATTTTATGTATGTGTGTAAAGTAAAATGCTTTCGAGTCTCTTATTTTTACTAGACTGCATACTATGAAACTCGGTTACTCCTGCGAGGTTATAACCACCAAGTAAAACCACATGTGTGTAACCTACAAAAGTCGTAACCGAAGTTTAACATTTTTTTGGTATCGAGGGGAAATCAAGTTACCTTTTTGGCGAAAGACAGAGTTATGTGAGATTCTTACTCACTAAAACCCCCTCGGTGGCCTTAGTTATGACTGCGAGGGTCCCGGGATCTCCAAAGGAACGCACCGAGAAATAAGTTTAACCTCACGTGTGTAGCTTACATTATGAATGTGGGATTTATTTTAATAGAATTTATATAATATTAAAATTGACTGTAGTAGAAATAATAGTTCATATATCAAGCTGCATGAATCTTTGCAACAATAGTTGTAGAGAAGCTCGGTAGAGCGATCGCCTGCATTGCGTACTGGTATACACCAGCGTTGTATTTTGTACTCCCGACTGGTATTGTTTCATGAACATACTGTATGGAACAATGTTAACATGTTCATATTGACTTAACATGTTTACGCGGCTAAATTTTGAGTCTCGTCAGAATATAACATGTTTAAATTTGAAATTGTATTAAATATCTCAGAGCTCAACGAATATGTATTACTATGTGTAGTACAGTAGAACTTGGGTAAGCGATAAAAATATTGCATTGCCTTGGATTCTCGCTTATCCAGGTTCGACTATATCACAATATAAGTATATTTAAAAGGCTTAATTTTTAAAATGTTTCGGATTTTATTTTATATTACTTGATAAACTGCTACTGAGTACTGCTAAAGATTTAATAATGTTGCAATTAGAGTTTAAAAATAATAGTAGTAACAATAATATCAATTATTCCTTTGAAAGAAAAGATAGATTTTATTATTGCGTTTAACCGTAAAGTGTGGAAGATTTATTTATATTTTCAAAGGTCGAAACTTGGTTCATCAAAATAAAATGTTCTTTTATAAAAAAAAAAAACTAAATCCTATAATAAATTGTACGTTTACGTATACTAAACTGAATTTTAAATATTAAAACACATTCAGTTTGTATCAAATGCACTTGCTTTAATAATTAAAATAGAAAATAATCAGTCTGCCGCGACAATTGTGTTCAAAAAGAGGGTTCTTACAAGGAAATTTCAAATATTTTTAGCATGTGAGACATGACGCGTCAAATCCGTACAAACAACTTTCAAACATCCCATTTTTGTGATGAGAATAACCCGCTCAAAGACCGTCCCCATATTCGAGCTTTTATTGTGACACCCTCACATCAGGTACACACAACGGATTTTAAAAACGCGCACTTTTATCACACACGTTTAAATGCATCGAGTCTTAATACCGACATACACGGATATC